CCCCCCCGCCGCCGCGCGCCCGCCGCCACCCGCGCTCGGGTTGCGCCCGCCGCCGCCGTTTCTGCCGCCGCCCTTTTGCACGCCGCCCAGCGACAGGGCCGCGCTTACGGACCCGTTTTCTCGCGCTTGCCGGTTCTGCGCCGAGCTTTCGGGAAGGCGCTCGTAACGCGTCTCCGTGCCCGCTGCGCTGCGCCGGGGACTATTCACCTGTCCGCACGAGCACCGCCTTTCGACTTTCATGTGTCGCCGCTCTCCTCGTAGAAGCATTCTCGTGTGTGGATTCGCGAAACACTGCCGTGTCTGAGCACAATATTTGCCAGCGTACAGTACCGTTGGTATTGTATTGTACTTGGTCGTCAGGAGAAAAGAGACAATAATACTGCAACTCGAAATTCAAATCCCCCTCCGAGAAACTTTAATTGCACTGCTTCCGTACATGTTTAGTAGTGAGCACACCGTATTGGCGATGCGCATCGAGACTGCGAGTACCCACAACCATTCCCGCTATCTGTAGCAATGTTATGTTATACAAGGCCCAACATGTCCCGTCGCGTATGCGTATAACTCGAGATCAACATTAAATGTTGTTTATTTAAATTTTAAATCCCGTCATGACTGACGTTTCCCACCACGTTATAATACTCCCGCTCCAATGCCACTCTATGAACAACATAGTATGTTGTGAAAAAAAAGGTACAGGTACTGTATGTTCAACATACAGTACCTGTACCTTTTTTTTCGAGGGAATCCTGTCCGGACAAACTTCCATGTCGAGACCATCGATGACAAGAGCTTGTCCGCACGAGCACGGCGATTCAATTTTCAACTGCACCGACTCGCTTTATAACATCATATATCTTGTATGGTTAAGCGAAAACATTCCGCTGCATGACCCCGAAAATTTGTGTCCAATACAGAGTAAATAACAATAAAAAGTCTCGAGTAGACTCCCACAAAATCGCCTTGCGACCTCACCGCAGCCATTAACTTTTACGTCTTGATTGAGACATTCGCGATAGAGCACTCAACGATGCGAACTTAAGTAAAAGCAATACGATACTGTAAAGGCGAAATGCAACCACGCTCCCAGACCCTTTAATCGGGCTCGTTTTTACAAACGTTTGCGGATGAAGACTCTGCACTCGCGATAAGGATCGAGATTTCGTACAAACACAGCGAGTCCTGGTAAAAGACCAAACTCCTGCCGACCATGCGTAGAAATCGACCCCAAGATTTAAACTTTGACATGAATGACGTTTTCAGGGCTCTATACAGCAATCCAAATCCAGTATATCACCCTTGGGTTTCCTTCGAAGCAGCTCCGAGTTCCACTCGCGACTGATGCAACGTCCAAGTTGACAGGCAGAATAGACTCTCTACGTGGGAATGTTCTCGAGCGTGGATTGGCGAAAACACTAAATGGGCAGCGTGAGCCCCAAAGTTGAGCGCAAAGTCCTCAGGATGGAGTGAACAATGGCAAATCTGCACGGGATTGGCCATAATCGCTCTTTCCAGGGGAGCATCCGGCAGCCTTCGCGCATTGATTGAGAGATTCGCAGCAATGCATGGTGCCGGGAGAAGGAATAGGACACTACACTGGACACGTGAAATACAAATGCGCTCAGAGAAACTTTAATTCAGCTCGTCCTGGAAAAGATTGGCAATGAGGACACCGCATTCGCAGTGGGGATCGAGACTGCGAACAACTACAGTACACAATGTACCGTTCTGTATCTTGGTGCAACACCAAACTGCTGGCCATCCAGGTAAAATCGCGGTAAGGATTCAAACCTTGTTGAGAATGACGATTCCCAGGGTCTGTGTTCCCACACAAATGTCACTCTTGAGTGTCCCTCGTAACAACTCGGATTTTGTCTCGCAACGCATTCCAGCGCACTGCGTCAAGTGATACGGTTGACGACAGCATAGGCGTAAAGGCCATCTGAGTGTCCTTGCAGGTGCTCTAGTCTAGCTAGAGTGCTAGACGACAAGCGATTTGCCTCTCACATGAGGCCAGCTTTTTTTTTTTTTTTTTGCAAAAACATATACCGTACAATAAGGTTGTCCGTAAAGTCACAAAAACGCGTGTTTTGGAGGCATGTTTGCTCATATTTTCTAAACGCAAAAATTTCAGACAACGCGTTTGGCAAAACTCACATCATACCGAAAACCGGGGGGCATGTGAGTTTTCCATGAGTTTCACATCCGCCTGATCACAGCAATGCCGGATCGACCCGTCTCGAAGGAAAACGAAGTGGGGTTTCCGTTCTTTTCATCAGCACAAACGAGTCTCAGATTGCAAGGGTCGTATCGATATGCGTTATGGACGCCCCTATCGCTTCATCTGCGCAGAGTCCATCAATGCATCAAAGCGCGACAGGATCTGCCACAGATGCCGCCGAGGCAACCGCGAAAGATAGACAAGTAGTAGCGTCTAAAAAGCGGTCCTCTCCAAACGGCCCCCCTCAGCCTGTCAAGAAGACGAAACACATACAGTAGACCCCCCGTAATAGTGCACCCCTGTGCCAGGCCTCACAAAACGCACTACTGACGTCATGCACTAAAGAAGCAACAGCAAAGCTCATTTACTGTACGACATGAAATGCTCTGCAATGAGCGTCTGGCGGTTCCTCTTTCTATTCTAGTCGTAATACGCATCAAAAAGTGCACGTTTCGCACGGCGCAAACCCTGACCTGCCCCTGTGAATTTTGCAGTCTACTGTGCTGATCATGAGGTAACTGTTGCTGGAGCATTTTGTCTCGGATCCGTAAGGCACGTTGCTGCAGTGTGGCAGCAGAGATCGGCAGTTTCGCTGCTCGAGCAATGTGAACAAAGTCGAACAGCGAACGGTCAATGTCTGGGAACCGCGCAGCTGGGAAGGTTTTGAGCTGCATGTTGTGGCTATGCTCTTGCATTTTTCTTTGAACTAACGCCGATTCAGTTCTAATCTTCTGCACAAGGCGCACACTGCAACCAAAAGATGCAGCAACTCCATAAACTGTTTCCCCATTCTCAAGAGATTCAAGGACTTTTCCTTTCTGTGCCAACGTTAATCTTTTGCGCTGTGCCTTCGGTTTCGATGAGCTCACGTTTGCCATGATGATGAGCACGGCAGTGCAGATAAGGATGCCGGTGGTGGCTGATACCGCAGATGTCTTCTCGGGGAACAAGCGGCGGCGTGGGTTCTAAGAGCATCTCCACCGCATAGGCAAATTGTTTCTATATTTGGACACTTGTCAGGCTCCCACATGGGCATTCGTTTTGCGCATTCCGTTTGCGAAAGTACCACAAATCGCCGTTGCGCAAATCGCGTCGCGGTCTCCACCGCGCACTGCGTCGCACCCGCCCCCGATCCGCGCCCAGACTTCCCGCGCCCCGACTTCTGGGCCGCCCGCCACCCCGACCAGCAGGACACAAAGCCGAGGTCCAGTTCGTCGACGCTGACCTCTTCCACCCAGACTTGTCCTCGCCGCCCGAAGCGTACCCGGCCGCGTCGCCACCCACGCCTTTGCCAGATGGTCGAGTTCAGTTAGCCCCCCTCCACGCCCGCGGACTCCCATAATAAATGAGTGTTAACGCGTGCACAATGTCTGCGTGCGGGTGGATGCGGGCATGTGCAGTGCGAGCATAGACCGTCCACTGCGCATTTGGCATGCTCAGACGTTTTGGGCGGGTCAGGTGTACCCGTGGCTTCCCGCGTTCTTGCTGTTTCGGTGTCTAAAAGTAACAAAAAATCAGCCCGTTCAAACAGAAGAGTGTTGCCAAAAAATGGGATTTGTGACGTGACGCGCCACAAAATCAAAAAATATGTGGGCCGTCAAGACACAAATCCTATTTATCATACGATTTGTGAAACAGATTTGTGTGCAGATTTGCGCGGTGGAGACCAAACTCAAGCCTGAGTCGCCATATTTTAGAAATGGCCACAATTTGCCTGGGCGGTGGAGATGCTCTAAGGCGTGCTACAGCTGCATTGCTGGCATATCAAGCGTACAGTTGTACACGTTTCAGAATCGGTGACATGGCCTGAAAAGCGCACTATTGACGTAAATGTACTAACAAAGAGCGCACTATTACGGAGGCCCCCCTGTACGCCCTTTCGACTGAGAACCATTCTATCCTTGTGGCGAGCTACAGTACAATATTCACTTCAGCGAGTATTCGCGCAGGTGCACGTGATCCGTCAGGCGGCACAACGTTGTACTGTACCAGTCTTGCGTTTATTGCGGGCAGGCACCTTGCTGGAGGTCAGTCCGCAAAACCCATGGCGGAAGTTTTCAATCTCAGGTTTACAGTACATACAGTACGTACTGTAACATCCAGCGATTTTGTGGGAAAATGAAAAAAAAACAGCGCGTTATTTTACGTACAACCTTATTAAATCGAAACTTTACAAAGTCAGCTTGAACACTATTTCCTTAACGTACATGCCCTCAGCAATAACATCGTGCAAAACATCGGAATAGCTGTTGTGAATACACAGAAAGACTAAGAATCTAACAAAGTTTCAATGCGCGGTTGATAATTGAAACAGGTGTTTGGTTTCGAAGATATCAACACATAGCGGTTTGAGGTTGGTCAAAAGGGATTCTTTTTTAGTGGCTGGAAAAGACGTGCAGATCTCACCAAACTCTATCCTTCCACAACGCAGAAGTCAGCTGCGGTGACGAGAGTATCTTTTTCCTTCTTGTTGAGGAAGTGCAAGTCGAGAAAATGTAGTTTGAAAAGTAGCCACATATGAATGAGGTCACTCGTCGTCTACCCTTCGGCTAAGGGTAAACACTCTGGCTAGAGACTCTGCAGAGACTCTAGCCAGAGTCTCTGCAAGCAAAACGAGGACTCGCGTTGCGCGATGAGGCTACCCGATCCTCCTGAGACGGAAATGGACATGAAGTTGGCCCTACGGAAGAGTACAAATAGACCTTTGATGTATGGTTAACAGTATTCGTGCTTGAAGGGGGGGAGAATATCATCTGGCACCCTTAAAAGTTACAATCAGAGCAGCCAATTTTCTGAATTGACCATGACTGCCCAATTTTCCCCGCATGTCACATTCTATTTCAGGAAATGAACGGCGCGCACAACAACATTTAAAGCACGTCGGCAACCCCGTCCAAGGATGCATCCTTTTGGCGCTCATGCTTCCGCGTCAAACAAAAAGCGCAGGCGCTTATAAGCGTGCAAAGACAGGTCAAAGACAGGTCGTAGTAGACAAAAAGTCTCACGAGTAGTCTTTAACACGTCACAAACATTGCTCGACTTTACCTATGGACAATACAGCGGCACAACCGACGAAAACGAGGCACAAACGCTCTAACGGCGTAGCTGCTCCATGCGTGCCTCAAGTGCGCTATCCGCCTGCTCGTTGGCGACCTGATCGGGCCTGCCGGTCGCGTTGGAAATGGCGCCAAGCTTCGAGCCCTGCTCTAGGCCAAGCTCGTCCATAACCTGATTGATAACATCATCTGTCTGTGCCTCCTCATCCGCGCCGCCGAGCATATCGCCCATAGCGTCATCCATCATCTCCTGGGTCATCTCCATCTTGCCGTGCTCCATCTCGAACTGCATCATGACGTTCTGCATGGCCGGGAGGTTCATGGTCTGGTTAATCCTGCCCATGATCTTGACGACATTACCCATGGCCGACGCCATGGCCTCGTTGGTGCGCATGGCCGTGAGCTGCATGGACACGCTCTGCATCTGCGTGCGCATCTGATACATTCTAGTGATGTTCGCGCGCGTGCGCACGAGGTCCTTGGCGAGCATCCGCGCGGCCTCCAGCTGGCCCTCCTTGGCGGTCTTCTTGATCTGCCCCTTGAGCTTGTTCTCCTGGGCCTCCATCTTGAGCCGCTCGCGCTCCAGCTCGCGGCACGCCTTGTCTATCGACCTGCGCGCATCGGGCGTCACGGGTGGGTCCGCGGGGTGGAGAGGAGGGGGGTTAGGCGGTGCATTTTGCGAGGTGACGTCGGGAGCGCCGCGCGAAACGGGTCGCGGATGTGGGCGCGGGATGCGCGCGCATGGTGGCGATGGGAGGAGGGGGGCGAGCGTACCGTTGGTTGCGCTTGACCTGCTGCGCGAGGGTCTCCGATGGCGGCACGGGCGGCGGCGGCGGGCCGATGGGCTGATCCTTCTTTCCGAAGAGCCAATTCATTGTGCGGGTTGCTCTTCGCGAGCTGTGCGAGCGTGTGGTGTGGGGTGTGGTGTGGGGCGGCGTGGGAGAGAGTTGGCGGTGTTATCTGCCGGTGCCGAAATGCGGTTGGGGTGCTGGTACTGCAGCGGGTGTGCTGTGGGCGAAGCGCGTGGGGGCGAAGAAGAGTGAGGCGGCGGAGTGGAAAGCTTGGTAGACCGACGGAGGACAGCCGTTCGTGATGTGCAGGAGGGGGGAGGGGGGGGTGCGTGGGAAGTGTGCGCGTACAAGACAGGGTGGGAAGAGGGATTTATGCCACGCGCGGTGGAGAGGGAACCGTTCCAAGACTGTGTCAGGCGGGTGGGGGACTTGGGCCCGGCATTGTTGTCAGGCCGGCCAGCAATGACTGCCTGGAGCGGGTTGGGGCGGCGAGGCGAAGAAATTGGGAAATTTCTCGCGGAATGACGCATCGTGCAGCTGCAGTAGTCCGTGGAGGGATTGGTGGAGGGGGGGGGGCGGCCAGCAGGGACGAGACGAGTTACTCTCATCCCCCCATGTCCGTTACGTACAGTAGACATGTGGAGTTCCGACGGTATGCTCCATTGCTGGTCAGCAGAGAAAGAGCAAAGCCTCTTTCTTCGAAACACCAACATGGACATCCCATTCTTGGACAAAACCGCTGCACGCCCAACCCGACGCCAAAACCACGTTTGAATCCTATTCACATCCTCCGCATCCTCCAAACCCTCCCTCCCATCAACGCTCGTCTACCAGGGCCTCAATCTCCTCCTTGAAAACCTTGATCGCCCTCATCTCCAACTTCCTCGCCCCCTCCGCCGCCTTCCTAGGCACCCACCACGCGGCCCCTAAATCCGCCAACACAACCTCCCCCCCATCCCCGACAAGCACATTGTGCCCATAAACGTCCCCATGTGCAATTCCCCTCTCCAGCAGTCCCTCAACCGCCTCCTGCACCACCTTCCCAATCCGCTGCGCCTGCTCTCTACTGAGCCTCTTCCCCTTCTCATAAACGCTCCGCGTGCAGCTTTCAAAGCTCGGCGGCCCTGCAATGCACTGCGCGTGCCCGCCGACCCTCTCCGAGACCAGCGCGAGCGTGTCCACGCCCCCGTCGGCCGCGGTCTCCGCGTAGTAGCCCACGGCCTGCACCACGCCCGGCACGCCGGCGGCCGCGAGCGAGACGGCGATCTCGTCGAGCGCGCGCCCGTCGCTGCCGGCGAGCGTGCCGAAGCGCTTGACGGCGACGCGCTGCCCGGATTCGCGGTGCACGCCGGGGTACGCGGTGCCGGACGTGCCGGCGCCGAACGGCCGCATCCAGTCGACGCGGAACGCCGCCTCCAGGTCGGCGATGGCGAGCGCGGCGGGCAGGTCGGTCGCCGCGCGCACGGCGCCGCCCGTGCACGGGTTTCCGGCCAGCGAGAGCCACGTCAGCCGCGGCAGGTCGTAGAGCGACAGCGGCAACGTGGCGAAGCGGTTGTTGGCGAGGCGCAGCAGCTCCAGCGCGGCCATGTGCGTGGCGAAGGTCGGCGGGAGAGACGTCAGCGCGTTGTTGGACAGCATGAGCTTGCGCACGCGCGCGCAGCGCGTCGGGAAGTCCGCGGAGAGACCCGTCAGCGCGTTGGAGGTGAGGATTAGCCACTGGATGCGGCGCGGGAGAAGCGAGGCGGGGAGCGTGCCGGCGAGGGCGTTGCATTTGAAGCTTAGCATGGTCACCGCGGGGAGCTCGGCCAGGATCGGTGGCAGGGCCGTGAAGGCGTTCGCGAGCAGGAAGAGGGTTTTGAGGTTGGGGAAGTGCGCTAGGAAGGGGGGGAGGGTCGAGAGGGCGTTGTGGGCGAGGTTGAGAAGCGTGAGACGCGAGGCAGAGAGCGGGTCGCGGCGCAGGTGCGTCTGCAGCGAGGAAGGGAGCGCGCGAAGCCCGCACGAGGAGAGGTCCAGCGCGGTGGCGGTGGCGCCCTTCGCGAAGAAGGCGCGGATGCGGGCGTCGGCCTCCGGGGTGGGGGCAGGGGCGGCCATTGCGAGGCAGTGGAACGGGGATGGTGTTGCAGATGGTGTTGCGGGGAGGGCTTTGCGCGAAGGTACGGCGAAAGTGCAGGGGTGCGGCGACGTCGGGGACGGCGGCTGATGTGGAGCTGACGTGAGCGGTGGCAGGGCAATGCCTTGCTGCCCGCGCGGCTTTCATTGGCGGGACCCCGTTTGCATCGCCGCTTGAATGGCTGGTGTCCGCCTCTCTAGACAGGCTGTCGCGCCCCCGCCATTCCATTGGGTGACGCGCGCATGCTCCGTGGCTTTGCGGCCACCTAGCGACAGATGCAATTCGCTGCGATACAGCCGGGAATACCACGAGACGCGCTCTCCCTCCCACCTGATGATGTCACCACCTTCACCTCCTTCGCCTCCTTCGCTCAAGCCGCACCATCTCCCGCCGTCCACCACCCCGCCGTCCACCACCCCGCCGTCCACCACCCCGCCGGCTTTCATTCAGCAAGACCCCCTCCGCACTCACGGACCACGCCCCGCAACCATGCTCACCTTCGTCCTGTCCCCTTGCCTGCCTCTCCGCCGGCCGTCCCCGCAACTCGCGCCGGCGCATGCCCGCGCGCCGCTGAAGCGGCTGCCCGTGTCGTCGTGCGACCGATGGAAAGAGTTTTCCGTGGGACCGCCCTCAGACGACGCGCCCTCCCCCACTCCCGCGCCAACCCCGCGTCCTTCGCTCGACTGGCCGTCGTGGCGGACGTCGGGCGGCTCGATGCGCGTGCCTGCCATCCCGTTCCCGCCGCAGGAAGTCTTCCTGCCCGGCGAGTCGAAGCTGCTGCACCTGTTTGAGGCGCGCTACCTGTCGCTCTTCGAGCACGTCATCGTACACTGCGACAAGCAGTGCGCCCACGTCCTCGTCGCGCCCGGCCGCAACGCCTTGGCCGCGCACGGCACCATTGTCCGCATCCGCGAGTGGAGGCGCCTCGATGTGGGCGTTAGTGTCAGGTTCGAGGCCGTCGGGAGACTGCGCATCAGCAAGCTGTACAACGCTTCCCCGTTCCTGCAGGCGGATGTTCATGTTGTCGACGACCACGGCTTGCAGGAAGGGGGCAAAGCTGAGGATGTCACAGAGGTGGAGACCCGCTTTTGGACCCTGTTTCGACAAGTCGTCGGTCTGTGTGTGCGCCTCGGGGAGGACCCGCTGCGGGAAAAGCTCAGCACGGCCGAGGAGAGCATTGCGGTCGTCGCGGGGAACGACGCGGATACGGAAGGGGAGACCGACTTGGTCGCAATGTCGCCGGAGGCTAGGGGAGAGTATTACGAGGAGATGCTGCTCGCGGCGGCGAGGCGCGCCGTCAATGGCGAGGACGTCCGCTTCTTTATCGTCACTAACTCCGCCGAGATGCTCTCGCGACGCGCCGCGGCCCTATCTTTTGCTGCCTGGGAGTTTTTTGAATCCACTGCGGGCATGAGGCAGAAAGCACTGGAGGAGAGGGACGCCGTCGCGAGGTTGCACTTGGTCGTGGAACAACTGGAGTTAAGGAAGAACAAGCTGGCTGCAAAGATTGCCCTGGAGAATGCCTTTTCGTAGTTGTGCGTGAGGCATCGCCGTAGGTTTGCTTGAAAATGAGTATCAGCTACGCGCCAGAAGTGTTTGCTACTAGTGCCGTGATGTAACATCGAGACGTAGTCTTTCCGGTGTGGGATTGATATGCCGAAGGCACTCTACAATGGAATAAAGAGGCTGTATGTGAAGTTTTCAAACTCAAAGCTCGGGCCTGGGACGGCTCGTACGCCCGGCATACAGGCTGTAGTGCTGGTCAATTGTATCTCTTTTGTTTGTAAGGAGAACGGAAAACGCTCTGCATCTTATCTCGATATGAAATCGTCTCTTCGAGTCTAGAATACTGAAGGTTCGCACGGTCTCGGTTGGTGCAGATGCTGTCTACAGGAAAGTCCGCCGGGGCCAACAGAGAGCCGCACCATTAAATCTCTTACAATATCTCCAGATGAATGCGAGGCTTTCAAAAAACAGCAAAGTGGCAGAAGGGCCAGTTGGAACACTGGCATGGAAAAAATACGCCTTAATGGAATCAACACTTTTTGCAACCGTACTCTCTAAAACCCTCTTGTACTGCCTTGCACATATTACAGTTGAAGAGCCAGAACTAGTAAAATACTTATCACACACCGGTCCGTAGGGTGCAGTCGGGTGGCACCAATTTCAGAAGTGAGAAGGTCGTGTATGGTTATCCACCGGTCCCGGCAAATACCCTTGTAAGCTGTTTGCTAAAGGATCGCTCATGTGGGTATCAGAACTCTTCACCGGCTTCCCTCCACAATTTCGAAGGAGATCACTTCTTAATAATCCTCGGGGTTTTTTTAGAGACAATAGGTCACTGGCGAAACGCCTGATATCTTAAACCGCTTTGCGAAAAATGGAACGTTCACGTGAGACAGGTCCTGTCGCCAAATTTTGGAGCATGCTCACAATGCTTAAGAACACGAGATCCAGGCGACGGGCCATCGTCTACCAACATTGCAAAGGGTCAGTTTTGTTGAGTGAACAAAGGCCGTTCCTGTGGCACCAACGGGGCACGTTGACTGCAGAGACTCTGTGTGGGGCACTGCAGATGCCAACGCAAATCGATAGCTGGGTTCATCACAACGCCTTTTCGAAGTTAGCAAACATCTCACATGTCTGATGGGGCCATGCCAGTTTCATCGTGATTGATCTCAGCCCTCCTAGACTATCAAAAGCAACCATACGATCTGCAATTTAAAATGCACATGAGAGAGGTTGAAGCTTCTGTTCTCACTTTCGTACAAACTGCAACTCGTTTTATACAGCGTATGCAAGATACGAAGTGTGTACACCTTTGAACAGCGGCAATACATAGACCCATCTACAGAGCATCCACATTTGTGTCGCACGCTTGCTCATAAGCTGTACACTATTTTGTCGATCTCCTTCACAGAACGTTGCTTCGATTACTGAGTTGGGCTACATAAGAGAATACCAGAGTGGAATCGGATCTCTTGTGGATACCTCAATGCGCAATTTTGGTGTCTTCATCTTCAGCGGCATGGGAGGCCTAGGAATGGCCATGTCTGCGGCTTTGCTCCGTCGTCTTTTCTCTGGTGGAACAGGAAAGGTACGTAAACTTGTTGTTGAGGATGAAACCACTGTCTTCGATAACGGGCACGAAACTGCAGAGGATGAAAAAGATGTAGTCAGCCGGATGGGCGAGTCTTCAGCCTTCCTGCCTGATGAAAAAGCCCCTGGTGTGGTGCGAGGCTTTGACGTATATTCCGTGGAGACAACCGTCTGCTCTTTTTCTGGGAATATTACCAAACGAATAGAAGACACTTCCCCGCACTCTCCTCGCGAAGCATCTGTCTTGCCTCCAAAAGAGCCTGAAGCAGCAAATCGCGCACTGGCATGTGAATCCTGCATTTCGGACATTCTGGAGCAGGGGTTGAGTAGCGAGGATGGCCTCTCCAGCGGTGAAACTATTCTTCACGTTGAAGAATATGTGCTTGAATCACCTCAGCTAAGCCCAACAAACAGCTTCTGCAAGTCTTCAAAGACTAATGTTTTTCACCACGCTCCATTATTTGAGAACAACAGATGTGGCTCTGGGAAAGGATCGAGTCCGCTGTTCGAAGAATGCTCCCGCATGCCCGATGTCCAGGCATCCGACATGTCTGTACAAAGCGGCGCGAACAGGACAGTCATCCATCACGATCAAAAGCCTTTTTGCACGGGAGTTGCTGCAATTCGAGATGAGTACGATGGTGACGATACCTCCATATCTAGCCGTTCAGGTAGCACATCTGACGCGGAGAGCAGAGTCCAATATCAGTCTGAAACACCATCGATATTGGTTTCTGCTATTCAAGAAAGTGCCATAGAAGATGCTCGAACAACTCCTTCCGTAGAAATATTGAATTCAAGGGAAGATACATCAATTGTCGCTGGCACATCACCGCCCCGTCAACTCGATGAAACAGTCAAGCCAGTTCTCATGGAAATTTCTGCGATTCCACTGAACAATTCGCAAGCTGTGAATGATCCACTGATTCATGATACCCTTCACGCCACCGAGATTGATGTATTTGCTCAGTCTCGACTTAACCGAAATTCAAGACTAGACGTAGAGGCGCAAAAGAGCCCCCCTGCCACGGCGAACGGAGGGAAAACTGCAAAATGTACTGAGGCACAGCCACCCTCTCCCCCGGCAGAGCACGAGCACCCACAAATCGCGGTTTTCTATAATCCCAAAGATCACTCCAAGGAGAATGAGATGCCTGCTCCACCTGTTCGATCAGTTTCGCAAAAGATCCGTCGGAGGGTTTTTAGGTCGAAGCAATCTTCACGAGGAGACGATAGACGTCGCAGCATGCGTCTTAAGTTTACTCCTCTGCGCAGAATTAAGAGAAGCAACAAGTAGTCTATAGGTCACATACCTTTTGAATTCTAGGGCTAATCAGGGAGAGCGTAAAAAGAGGAGAATGTACCTGCTTGGGTTGCTTACTGGGGAGCTGTTTGTGCCTTTTTTTGAAAGCGACTGCGATGTGGGGCCCCCTTACGAAAGCCCGACATGGGAGTGTGAATTGCTCAAGATTAACTTTTTTCCCCGTGAAGCTCCGGCGTTCAAGCATTGTTAAACATTGAGTGTATCTAAACCCTAACAGACCGAAGTCGATGTGGTGCATCCCAAAATTGATCGTGGCTCTAAGCCTGTTTCCAAACTTGATGGGTGAAGGTACAAAAATCTCGGGTGCAGAATATGCACTGATGGGTACACGCAGGGGCACAGCACGTATGTGGTATAAGGAATCGTCTACCCCTTGGTTCCGCGATTTAAAAAACAAAAATGGTAGGCATGCTTCACGCCTCCGGAAGGTTGCTTATTTCAACAGATTCGAATGCCTGGACTACGTCATCCAATTTTTGACCCTCCCCATCTCTGCCGTTCTGGCGCAAAAGAAGACAAGAGAATGGCATGATTTTGTACGAGCTGCCACCGTCCAGCTTTGCGGCCTGCCCTTCATCGGCGAAATCTTTCGGTGGTTCAAGGTTGGAGTCTATGACCCTCTCCCAGCCGCCGTGCACATGTGGCAGCTGCAGGTCTCGACTTTCCCCCCCGGCATTGAAAGCTACGTATATCTCACACGCACCCTTGAACGACATGGCAAGAAAGTTGTAAGAGGACTTCCAATCTGGCTGTCCGCCATTGCTTCCGTGCCAGGCAATGTCACGGTCGGATAAAAATGTGTCATGTTGCAGCGAACTCACTGAACGGCGCAGACGCACGAGCTTGGAGGTGAACCGCATGAGCCCATGTTTGTCGGCCTTCGCAGCCCCCCAATCAAACCAAGTCAGTTCTGAGTCCTGGCACCAGCCGTTATTGTTGCCCTTCTTAGTGTGACCATACTCATCTCCCATAGTGAGCATGGGCGTGCCGGCGGCGACGAGAAGTGCGACGAGCATGTTTTTCATTTGCCGCCGCCGAAGTGCGAGAATGTTGCCATCCGACGTGTCACCTTCCGCGCCGCAGTTCCAAGAATTATTATGCGCTTCGCCGTCATTATTGTTCTCACCATTTTGGTGGTTGTGCTTCTTGTCGTATGCGACCAAGTCGTGCATGGAAAAGCCGTCATGTGCCGTGATAAAATTGATCGAGTGGAAGGGCTTGCGCCCGTCGCCATACAAGTCTTGCGAACCGCATAAGCGAGTTGCAAACTCACCAATCATACCACCATCTCCTTTGACAAAACGGCGCACACAGTCCCGAAACTTGCCATTCCACTCAGCCCACACACCAAAGTGAGGAAAGGTGCCAACCTGATAAAGGCCACCACAATCCCATGGCTCCGCGATAAGCTTGACGTCCCTCATAGTAGGGTCTTTCGTCATGCGTTCGATAATAGGGGGGTCGGCAAGCGGCTCGCCATCCACACCACGACATAATATGCTGGCCAGGTCGAAGCGGAAGCCATCGACACCCATTTCATGAGCCCAGTAGCGTAAGCTGGCACATATGAGCTCCTGTGTGGCCGGATTGTTCGAGTTGACGGTGTTGCCGCATCCAGAGTGATTGACAAAGGTGTGGCCACCATCGCGGAGCACGTAGTAAGAAAACGGGGCGAGTGTCTTCATGCCGTAAAACCCGGGGCCGACGAAGTCTAGCCCCATTTCTGCGGTATGATTGTACACGACGTCAAGGATGACCTCGATGCCCTCCCGATGCAGCTCGCGCACCATGTATTTAAATTCTGCGAGTACCTGCGCGGGGGACGAGCCGTCGCGGCCGAAGCGGTTCATCGGGGCGAAGAAGGCGACGGTGGAATAGCCCCAGTACTGACTGAGCGGCTTGTTAGATTCGGGGTTGATGTGGCTCCACTCGCGCTCATTGTACTCCATGACCGGGAGCAGCTCGACGACATTGACGCCGAGGCTCTTCAGATACGGGATCCTCTCCACAACACCAACGAAGCTACCCGCACTCCCTTTCAGTTTAGTGGGCCCTATATCGGGAGCCCTCTTTGAGAAGCCGCGCACGTGCAGCTCGTATATGACCATGTCCTTCCAAGCGATGCGTGGCTTGGCTACATCCTGCCAATCGAACACCGTCGGGGGCGCGACGAGCGCGCGCGGGGAGTACTGCTCCGTTTTTGAGCTACGATCATTGAACGCGGCTGGGCCGACTGGGGAATCGAGGACCGTGGCCCACGGGTCGAGGCAGACGTTGGAGCGCCAGCGCGGGTCCTTATCGCGGCCCACGCGCCACGCGTACGCCGCGGCGGCGGGGACGGGGGGGACCAGCTCGACGTGCCACACGTGGCCCGTGCGGTTTAGGGAGGGGTCCAGCGGGTGGACGGATTCCGTGGCGTCGACGGTGAGTAGCAGGGCGACGGAGGTGGTCTCGCGCGCGTAGATGGCGAAGTTGGTGCCGCGGGAAGTCGGCGACGCGCCGTATGGAAGCGCGCGGCCGGCGTGTACCGTGCGCGCGGACGGATTTTTGGGGGCTGTGCCTGGCATCGTGAACGGAGGGGCAAAGGGAGGGAGAGGGTTTGGCGAGGCGGGAGCTAGAGGGAGAGTGGAAGGGGAGGGCGATGGTGCGGTGGATGGGGGGATAGCAGGTCGAAAAAAAATCAGATGCAGGACAAGGTGAGATGTACGGCACGGTGTACACGTGGAATGGGGACACTTGCTGCACAACCAGAGTCGTTGCTGTCGCACGGCGATTGGCTTCTTTTGAATGCCACCAGACTTCCCGTACAGCAGTGCGACGAATCGGGTACGATCGGCGCCTCGGCAATCGAGCTCATGCAAAACCTTCCCCCCAGGGCGCCCCATCGCTCCTCCCGCACCCCCATCATCCGCCCCGCCGCACCATGCCGCACCACCTCGCCTTCTCGACGGCGACGCCTTCAGTGGTGTCTACCAAATCATCCGTGCACGGGCGCGCGGTGTCTTCTCCGCGCGGGACGCGAGTCGTGAGCGTGCCCCGCGCCGCGCGTCCGGCGCGCGTGGCGATGGACATGTCGGGCTTCATGGAGGCGGTGTCGCGGCGTGGGCTGCTTAACAACCTCATCACTGCGGGATTCATCGGCACCGCGCTCTGGATCATAGCCACGCCCGCCGAGAAGATGAGGCCAGCATCCGCGTCCGGCAACGGCGAGATGGCCGATCCTGCGGACGCTAAGGTCACGTCTAAGGTGTTTTTTGACGTCACTATCGGCGGCGAGACTGCTGGCAAGATCGTCATTGGGCTTTTCGGAGACGACTTGCCTAAGACGGTCAGGAACTTTGAAGCTTTGGCGACAGGGGAGGAGGGTTTCGGCTTTAGAGATAGTATTGTACATCGCAGTATTAAGGGATTCATGGCACAGGGCGGTGATTTTACGGTACGTCATTACTCAATTTTGGCTTGCGGATTCGCACTAGGCCCGGAGGGACACGCGTTTGGTTCTAACGAATATTGTTGTGTTTGCGCGTTTGCGCCTGCGATGAGGTCGGAGCAGAAAGCGAATGGCACCGGCGGCAAGTCCATATACGGCGGTAATTGTGCGTCAGTGCATCTTGATATTCGTTTTACCATTACTTGCTTGCTTAGCTTTATTACTAACGCGTTTTTTGCTTTTTGTTTTGTTTTTGTTTTATCTCATCGTGAGTTAGTCAAGGATGAGGGTTTCAAGTTTTCTCATACTTCGGCTGGTCTATTGAGCATGGCTAATGCTGGGCCCGACACCAATGGTATGTACTGCGGACTTCACTGTAACATCCGTGCCGCGTTTTCCGTTTACTAACCCTTGTTCTCTGAATCTACTTCCATTTGAAATACCCCAGGTTCACAGTTTTTCATCACATATGGTACGTTGAAGTCTTGCCCAGTGGTTCAAGAGCATGCGCATTGCAGCGGTCGAACGAGTTTTCGCGGAAATATATATCTAACCCAGGATCGTCACTACAAATCAAAAACCATGCGCCGTCCTCTAGCGAAAACGCCGTGGCTCGACGGTAAGCACGTACTGTTCGGGCGTGTCATCGAAGGCATGGAGACTCTCCGCAAAATCGAGTCCACCAAGACGGGCGCCCGGGACATGCCCGTATCTCAGGTGAAGTTTACCAACACCGGGATTGTTGAAGAGTGATTATGATGAATGCAAATGCAGTTTCAACTTGCGGAGGGCAGCGTTCCACAGCGGACACCAAATGCGAACAGAGACTCATATGTATCGCAACGGAACATATGAAGACGTTGCGTGTGTATGGTTTTATAGGAGTCTGGTGTCTCCATCGCGGATTTTCCTCACGGAGAGCGGAAAGGAATTAGGTTTTCTATAAAAATAAATTCTTCCCCGTTCCCTTACATAATTTTTCATACCTGCAGTACCCTACTCTCTGTCCAGTGCACACAAACTGTACCACGCCTACTGTGTGTACGAAACCCTCTGCGTGCAATCTCTATCTTTTTGCGGCAACTGCAAAGTAGCGATTCCTCGCGCTCTGTGGATGCGTCTGCAAAAGAATCCAAAGGGGAGCGACTCCTCCACACATGTATCGCGGCGGGGATGACCAACGTGAGGAAGGACACTGGCGGAGAGGTACGGGGTCTTGGCGTAGAGGTGCCCGCGGAAGAGGCCGCCCGCGCTCCTTTCGACAATACGATTCGACCATCCAAAGACCTGCGCTGACGAGAGAGGAACAAGATAGAAGGGCGCAGCGAGAGCAGAGGTTTACTAGCGAAGGGAGTGGCTCCACTGTATCTGCCCGGGACTGGTCGTCGAGGATTGGGAGGGATATTGCCCAGGCAGCGAATGCAGAGAAGGAAGCGGTGGAGAAACGTCCGCTACGAGAAGCGATAGGCTTTGGCCGTGCGGTCGGCCTGTCACGCGTCCCAGATGCTGCACTGTCAAAGTCTCGTTCTACAATGGAAGGCCGTTTAGAGGACTTGCTTAGAAGAACGAGACAACTAGAGGGGGAAGGGCTCGCTCTCATGGGTATTGGCGAGGGAGGTCCTGTGTCAATGTCGAAAAGTGAAGTGGTGCAAGCCTGGGATTCAATACTTAGCGGCTTTCGGCAACTGACAATGGCCATTACAGCCACGTCCCTCAAAGACGTGAAGACGCTGACCCTGAACATATACGAGGGAGCGGCAGATGCGTCGTTATTGGGGGGAAACATGAGCTTTTATCTTGCGTGCCAAAGTCGACTCGTGTCCGATATATACACTGACTACGCAGCTGCTTCCCCTGCTACTGCACGTAGAGACGAGTTTGTTGGATATTCGCTTCTCTATTTTGGCGTGTTTTCCGTTGACAATCTTGAACTCGCAACAATAATGAAACGCATAACACCGAAAATGTACAAGTCACAGTACGTGAATTTTGGCATGGCCGCGGTCACCGCGACCATACATCGAGATGCTACAAAATTCTTTTCCCTGTTCAAGACTGGCAGCATTCGACAAAAGACACTTATGAGCTCTTCGATTGACCCTATGAAAGCCATTGCCTTGAAAACGATCATTCGTTCGTATCTTGCTTTGGAGAAAAGCGTAGCGATATCTCGGCTCGGTCTCGAGTCACATGCTGACTTTCTGCGCCTTTTGAAAGCCGAGAGACCAGACCTTATCCCAAATAATGCGACAGAAGCCGCCGAATTCAAATTTCGACGAAAGTGAACAGTTCACATCATGCGTTACATGGTATCGTAGTTCTGCTGAACTAGCTGCACAGCAAAATGTCGAAATCGATTTCAGCGCAGAGAACTCGCTTGAGCCTTTCTCTTGCTCTCCTCAAATGCCAGGACGGATTGAGGGCGCGCGGCTTAGTTGAGCATGCATCTCGGTCAGAAAGTTGTGGGTACAAAATGTAAACATTAGACGGCCTGTACGCCCGGCTTCAACCTGAAGCTCAGTTTCAAATCGTCCGGCGATCGCCATCTAAATTGCCTCACCGCGGCCAAGCTCATATACGACGGAAGCACTTTTCCATTGCATAGCACTTCAAGATGTTCTTGGTTTACGTTGACGCCAGTGTTTTGTTCCTTGAATTCTCTCGCGATATAGGCCGCAACCTTTTTCACTCGGAGTACCCTAGGAGCAGTCAACGTGGTGGGTTTCAGCAGTGGCAGTCCGGTTCCGTCTTCAGGTTCCAACCCAAAGCTCACCTTGACTGCCTCCCGAACCTGTCCTTTTCCGTCACGAATCAGGTCAAGGACCCACCCTGGCATCACTTCCTGTTCGTTTCCTTGAAAGCTGCCAACTACTCGCCGGAGAATGGGTACTGGTGATTGGTCTTCAGTGACAATGACAGGGATATGACTAGGTAAACTGTAGGGAGGTAGATTGTTTGCGCGATCAGCAGCATTTTTCTGAGCATTCGTCGGCGGGCTTCGCGCGCGAAGGTCCATACTCTCTTCTCCATTGGAGATACGCTTCTTGTATTCTTCGTGCCATTTCCGGAAGAGCGCACGGACTACATGTTCACCAATGTTCACTTTCACTTCTTCTGTGTCGGCGTCGAGACCAGCATCTACGGCATAGATTTCAGCGTTTGCTGCATTACTCTTATCGAGTCGAACAGACAGAGACCCAAGCCTGATGTCCACCTGAAACCAGCTTGGGATGCACACTTCCTTGTCCTGAGATTTTGCCACCTCGTCTATGTCCCTATCTTCGATGATACCCAGCGATTTTTCAAGAACGCCCCTCGTAATGTCCCAAATGCAATACTCTCCTTGAGTATCACACGTCAGAACGTGTCGCCGGTCATTCATGATCTTTTGCGCTATAATCCCCGGCAACCCAGGGATCAAACACAAGGGACGATCAGTATGAACATCTGCGGGGCGCTGCAACGCTATATCCGCTTCAAGATCTGCAGGCTTTTCTTGCACAGTCGGAACGTTGGCACCGGCCGCATTGGAGGCATCGTCGCTATCCGTCATTCTCCCCGTCGCCTCCTGAGGCAAAGGCCATAGCCGCACAGTGGACCCCGTGGTACTAACCCATACGGCAGAATTACACGGCGTCAAGGCGACGTCCAGCACCATGTTACTTCTGACGTCACTATCCGCGACTTCGACGACCAAGGATGCAACATCCGCGGCAATATCCGTGTGCCACACAGAGCCATCCCTCCCCCCGGACACAAATGAGTCAAACTCATAATTGGAAGCCACAGCCCACACGCTACTGTCAGCGTACGAGTCGAACGAACGAACGCAGCGCTCCTGCCTGAGGTCCCAGAGCTTGACCGTAGAATCCGAGCCGCCGGACAGCATCATGCGCCCGTCATGCTTCATGGTCAAGCACCTGACAGAGTCGCTATGCCCACGCAGATGGACGACGCGATCGCCGGTGCGTACATCCCACACGCTTATAGTCTTATCTGTAGACCCAGAGACAAGAACGTTCCCCTCAACCGACGCGGACATGCAGTACACGGATCCGTTCCTCTGCTGTCCCTCCTCGAGGTCCACGCCGCACTCCAGGCGCAGGCTCCCCGTGACGAGGTCCCACACGAGCACGCGGCCGTCCAGCGAGCCGCTAGCCACGCCGCTAGGGACGACGGCGAGGGCCTTGACGTAGTCCGTGTGCTCGACGAGGGTGCGCAGGCTGCGGCGGGCGTCGTTCATATTCCAGACCTTGAGCGTGGTGTCCGACGAGCACGAGACCAGGCGCTCGAACTGGTCGACGAGCACGACGTCGTTGACCCAATCGACGTGCTCGTCGAAGGTGCGCACGGCGCCAGCGACGGGGATGTCCGCGGCGGGGCGGCGGTACGGCGGGGCGGGGATCTCCCAGGAACGCACGGTGCCGTCGCGCCCGGCCGTGAACAGCTGGTCCTTGGCGAAGACGAGCGCGGAGATGCCGAAGCGGTGGCGCGTCTCCGGCTCGCGCAGGATGTAGGAGACGCGCTCGTCGCGGCGAGAGGTGGCGCCTAGCCGGTCGGCGAAGGCGGCGCTGCCCACCATGGATGGGGGCGAGGGGCGGCAGGGGTGGATCGGACGGGGAGGGGGGCGGGTGGAGAATGGGAGGTTGGAAGGGAGCAATGAAAGGCGGGGGTAGTGGGGGCCTATTGCTGCCAGCAGGAGGAGATGGTGCAGAAAAACCGGGCGGGGAGGGGGGGAAGGGGGAGGGGGGGTATGATACTGGATTGTGGCAGACGGTTTTGATCCAGGCGAAAAGCTTCGGCGAAAGCGGCGTTTTTGGGCAGCATTGCCACCAGCTACCCCCACATTCCGTGTCGCATGACGTCTTCACGACTGTACGGCTCAACTTGGTCTTGTATCTTTCAAGGGAGAAGGACAAAGTCAATACCAGTCATATGAGGGACGTAACGGTTCGATGTCGGCGCGTGGACCGGCAAAAAGATCCCGTCTCAATACCGTCGGGAACGAGCATTCCCCCTACCTCTTTCTCATCTGCACCTGCGCATTCAAAGTCCTGAAGTATTACCGCGCGCAATTGTTGACGATCTACGGTTTTTATCAAAACGCTTCTCTGCTTGGAAATGCTCTCTATCTAGTACATCCCACAGTTTCAAAAGAGGCATGACAAGAAAAAAAAAAAGCAGAGCACCTCACCACGCCTTTCCGGCGATGCAAGAGTATACGCCCCTGAAATACATATACATACCCCACCCCCAGCCCTAGTGCCCAAACGGCTTCTTCGGTATAGCGTCCGGCAGCGACTCGGAATACTGCACGAGGTCCCACCTCCTGCGCACGACGACGATCCTGGACGAGCTGAGCACGCACGTGCCGAGGATGGAGTCTCCGACGCGGAGGGCGTACGGTTCGAAGCCCGGCGTCTGCGCGTCCTCGTCGTGCTTTCTCTTGCGCCACGACGGTGTCGTGCACATGACCGAGCAGAACTTCTCCCCGGACACGAGCACCGACTCCTCCTTGTCCGCGAACGACACGCTCGTGATCACGCCACTGAACGAGCCTGCGCTCACCATCTTGTCGGCGTCCGTGTCGGCATCCGCGTCCGCCTCCTCCGTGCGTGCGATGAACACTTTCAGCGCGCTTGTTGCGATGGCAAGGCTCGTCCCAGATGGCGCGAACGACATGGCCGACACGGCTACGACCTTGTCATCCTCTGGCTTGAACACCCTGGTCCACTTCAGTTGCACATCGCCGTTGGCCCATTCTGGCGCCAGACGCGCGTAAAACACATGGCCGCGAGAGTCGGCGACACCCACGCCGCCGTTTACGCACGCGATTCTCTCGAGCGAAAACGCGGTGCTCCCCACCTCCTCCTTCTTGATGACCATGACCTGCCCGTCCTGATACACGGCGAGCGACATCTTGGACTGCACGATACACACGAGCGCCGCACCGCAAAATGCCAAGTCCCACGCGGCACTCAGCAGCCGCTCCACCCTGACTGGTACGTCCAGCGGCTTGACCTTGCCGAAGCTGGGCGAGTCCGGCGCGCTCCCTACGCCGTCCCATACCTGGTATAGGCGGAAGGCGTCCAGCCCAGCGACGGCGATCATGTGCCCGCCGGCCGAGATGGCGCACGCGCTCACCTCGCCGCGAAAGCTCTTGAGGTTCATCCTCAGCTTCAGCGGCGGCGACGCAGCGTCCTCGGGCAGCCCCCACAGATCAATGCCACGCATGCGGCGCGCCAGGATAAAGCGGGCCTGCCTGGAGAACTGCACCGGCGGCTGTCCGACGCAGCCGTGGTACGGGAGCACCCACGTGACATCCCTACGGTCAACAAAATCCGCCGGGGCGAACACGCACATCCTGGCATCGAGCGAGGCTGACACAACGCCGCCCTCAAACGCGGCCATGGCGCGCACATCGTGCGAGTGAAACCTCGTCCCGCGCAGCGGGGCCCACACGCCGTCCTCTGCAGGGCGAAGCGCGCCAACGCCACCTGCCGCGCAGCCGAAAAAGACAAGCTCCTCGCCCGCCGCGTCGCGCACGACAGCCGACGACCACAGGGCGCTCTGCAGGCCCTCGACGCGGACCTCTTGGCGCATGACGCCCGTAGCGGAGGCCCACACCGTGGCCATCCCCCTCGAATCGCCGCAAACGACCTCCCGCCCCCCACGCACGAACTGGATGGTCCATATAGCGGCGGTCTCTCTGCGCACAGGCGCGACCTTGCCGCGGGTGAGCACACGGCCGCTCTTGACATCGATCCAGCGCACGCCGCCCTCCGAATCGCCGACGACGACACACTCTGCGCCGGGCGCAGCGGCGACGGCCAGCGCGCGCGCGGCGACGGCCTCGCTGGAGCGGACGACGTAGGCGGCGGGGTCTGGCGGCAGTGCCCGGTGCGAGGGGTGCGACTCTGGG